CGGGTCTGGGTGTCATGTGTATGTGAAATTGTATGTTTGTAACAGCACCCACGACACAGGAGAAAATCCTAATGTGGGGCAACGTTTTTTTAAAAAGCAAAAAGCAAAGACCTCTGCCAACCTCTTCAGAGTTTAAAGGCATGACGTAAGTAAAACAGTTTCAGACCACATAGTACAAGAACTAAGATATCTTCATAATAACCTGAAACAAAAATGTTTATGAAAACATTTTATTTAAACAAAAAATGTACAGACCTACAATTTTATTTCCATTATACCACCTTTTACCTCAGTTATCTTATAAATTCGTAAACCGGTAACTTTAACTGTGTAGTTCAAGTCACTGTTGCGTAACTTTTGGCCAAAATAAAAAAGTTATTTCGGTGTAGGTACCGTAACGTCGTCGGTACGTCAACAACTTTCCAAGAATTTGCCATGAACTTTTTTCGTTCAGTTTGTAGATTAGAATTAAAGAGGTTTGATATGTCTGATCATATGTATACAGTGTGGGAGAGCCAAGCTTCGGCACGAATGGGTCGGCTCGACCAGAGTGATACCATGGCCTTACAGAATACCGGTGTGAAACAACCACAGCGTTGTGTTTCGCCGTGTGAGTGGGGTTAGCGGAGGCCCAATCCCGCTCCTTCCCCTATTCCTTCCCGATCCTTATATCCGCAACCCCTATCCCCAAAAGGCCGGCAACGCATTCGTAACTCCTTTAGTGTTGCGGGTGTCCATGGGCGGCGCCGATTGCTTACCATCAGGTAATCCGTCTGCTTACTACTACTTATTTTTTTTATTTTGTATCAAGTAATAGCAATAATCACAAAAAAATAAATGTTTCTTTTGTGGTATTTGCCAAAGTTTTTGGCATTTTTGAACATTTCATTATTAACAAAGATCTGCTACGGCATCAACTATTATTAACATAAATTTCAGTACTGTCGTGCCGTAAATAATTTTTGAATTGGCTCCAAATGATTTAATCTGGGTTTTTTCATAAACCAAATTCCAAATGATTTTCGGTAGAACATTTAGTGGCTTAATTTGTTACATTTTAGCCCTACTATGACTTCCCAAGGAATACGTCGGGCTACCAGTAACCCTGTATAATAACTGCCTATAGAAGATGTCCCACTTTTACGTCAAGATCCGCCATTTTTTCGTGTCAATATCAAACAATTTTTCATTACTTGTTATAAAGCAATTTCTATTCTTCGGTTGTCCCATAAAATAAAAGATATGACGCTAATAATAATGTGATATATATTTTTTACTACGAGCAATACTTTTATTTTTATGAGTGTGGCAACATTAAAGAGAGATGCTACTGCATGATGCATTAATTATTAAATTGCTTATTAGATGGATGGATTTTAGTGGCTTGTTGGTTGAGTGAACAAGGTTTTGGATTCAATTCCCTTGTCAGACAGAGATTTTATTTTATTTTTTTGTCAGTGGAAAATCATCAAATGACCTCCCCAGAGTAAGGGGGGAGAGAGTGTCAGACTCTTACTGAATAAAAAAAAGGCGACTGTTGGATATAAAAAGGAAAAAGTATATATATTAGGTTATTAATACAAGTTTTTGTTTAACTTGGAATGCATTTATTTATATGTGTAATGTGTTTGACGAAAATTTAAGATACCATGTATCTTCAATCGATTGACTAAAAATGATAAATTTAAAAAAGACAGAAAAGTAATTTGTTTGGCACCGGACATGCCGTATAAACTATAATATAATGCAATAACAAACATACTTCCATGAAATCCGACAAACTTTTCTATAAAATATATAGAAGGATAGTATATGTACATAGAAATATGGATAGATAGATAAATAAATAAGGCATTTATTTAATGCAACGAAAGACTCAAAATGCAATGATTGGAATTAAGATAGCTCCATAATTATGTAAAAAATAACAATAAAAGCAAGTTAAACAATTTTTATTTTATTTTTTATTTTACTTTATTGGGACATAAAACAATAAAAATAAATGATTTATTTAGGTATTTGTATGTTCTTTTTTTAAAAGATTATTTTACTATTCTGTGTTTGTTCTGAAAAAACCTGTCTTAAAATTACAACATATTAATCTAGCACTGAGAGTACTATATACACATACATATCTACACTTATCTTTATTCTCCAAATATGTAGGTCTCCCTTTTAGTATAAAAGCTGTGAACAGTCCTTATGTACAAAACGGAGCAAAAGTACCACTGTTTCGCCTAAGGTTGAACCCAGCTCAGTATTTTATTATGACATTGAATAATAAACCATATTATGAGGATATTAAAGTGCAAACGAGCTCCCGACCTCTAGACCTAAGGAATCGTTTGTCGTCGGCGTCGGCGTTTGTTTTAGTTTGAACTTTATTTTGTTGGGTTTTAAGTGTGTTTTTGTATGATAGTGCTAATCTTATGGTAGGTTTTGAACTGGGTTAACTTGACAATGACCTAAAATATATTTATAGTACAAGTGAGAACAGTAGTTTTATTTAATGGTGTGTGATTCTGTTAAAACACCATATATTTGGGCAAATCCATTCTATGATCTTTTTTTGTATTTTTGTAGACTGTATACAGGGGAGTCAGCGGTACCTTATTGCGTTTGCCCCGCAAACCCGGCTGAACATCGGCCCTGCTGGGCCCCGTCTGTTCTGTTGGGCCCCGTATGTTCTGTTGGGCCCCGTTTATTCCATTCTATAATCTACTAATACACTTTGGACCGATCTCCTGGCAATAATCAATGTGACTTTTTCCGAGTTCTATAAAGTTTTTAAACATAAACGGCCTTATTACAAAACAAGGTTTTACTTTAGTCTAGGACTAAACCATTGAGTCAGTTTTGTATTTCGAATTGAAGGTAGATGGTAATAAGATTCAAAATTCAAAACCAGACTCAATGGTTTAAACCTGGACTAAAGATAAATCTTGTTTTGTAATAAGGGGGTAAGTACCTAGAAAAAATGTTGTGAGAAACCTGGACTTATTCAAGCTGTCAATACTCAAATCTTTTCCGTGGGAAAAAAGGCCTTTGTACAATAATCGGCACGAATATGTTGTGGTATTAAAAACATATCATTTTTGTTTTTAATTCGTCGTCGTTTTGAAAATCTGTGTGTAGATTAATTGTAGTATGTCACTTCTAATTCACAAGGAAAATCATCATATTACTGACCTCCACCGCCCCACCGATGGCGAGAGTTGAGAAGGAGTGTCAGACTCTTAGTGACTAAAATCCACACCCTTCTTTCTCCTGCTCCAGGCTGGGTCATGGAACATCATTGAACTTACACCCACAACTCCGACTTTTTTATATGATAGGTCGGCAAACGAGCAGACGGATTACTTGATGGTAAGCAATCACCGCCGCCCATGGACACAAGCAACAACAGAGAAGTTACGAGTGCGTTGCCGACCTTTTGGGATTAGGGGTTTGGAGATTTTGGGGATTGGGGGAGGGGAAGGATTGGGCCTCCTGTAACCTCACTCACACGGCGAAACACAATGCTGTGGTTGTTTCACGCCGATTTTTTGTGGGTTTTGTTATTTCTCCGGTCGAGCCGACCCATTTGTGCCGAAGCATGGCTCTCCCACACTTCTTTTTCATATTGAGCTCAAAATCACTTCCAAATAATATTTCTCCCGAAATTCCCAACCCTACCATAGTCCATTAGACAGAGTTCCAAAAACCCTAGTAACCTATTTGTTTACTTCTCTGTTTGTATCAATAAAAATTACTCCCATATGTTTCCGTGCCAAACTGTAATATTTTTACTACGCAGTATTTACAATAAGAACGGGCGTCGTATCGATAAAAGTTATCGATAGTTTAATAAACATTGAAGATTATATTTTTACGTTGACATAATATACTACGTATATAAGATATGAAAAAGATAATAGTATTAGTAGTACATAAGATCTTGAAAGTTGAAAGCAGAAAATTAGTGTGAAAAACCACTTAGTTTTTTCGTTCTTAACTTAATAATAATAATGGTCTAACTTAAATATAATTAAATATAAAATAACGCGAATACAAAACTTTATCCCTATAGTTTTTATAAAGAATTTACATGTCTTTTTTCAATTTTGTGTTTTCCCAATTTTCTCTCAAGTTTTGTTTTTTGTCACTCTTTTGCGTGGCCAGGCGCCTAGGGGCAATCTTTTACTCTTAGAAATTTTATATTTTATATATGGACTAGCTTTCTGCACATTTTTTCACGTGTTATACTGACTTCCTGTAGATTTTTGGTTTATAAACTATCCTATGTCCTTTTTCGAGTTCCAAACTATGTCTGTACGGGGTGCATGCCAGAAGACCTCCCCGTGGTGCACCCTGGGTGCGGGCGACAGTCTCCCTAACGGGATGGCGACAGGGTTGGACTGACTGTCGCCCGCAGCGAACTTCTGGCCGGGCGGAGAACCCGGTCGGGTTCTAGAGGCGACCGGCCCTATGCTGGCATAGGGTCCACGCCTCCGTGGGGGCGTTCCTCCGCACGACTCTCTGGACCTAGCAGAGAGCGGGGTGGAGAAACAAGGGCGGCGCTCGTTGTGCACTCACCCTGCCAATGAGTAGCATCGGGGCACTAGCTGCGCCCGACTGCACCCGTCGATATCGTAATCCGGGAAGAGATCATGGTCATGTTTTATGACTCGGACCGGGACGAGGGTCTTGGCTTAACCGCCCGGACCGCGAGGAAGATAACCTCTATAAAAAATTCCTCCAATACTAAGTTCTGGTGCGCGGCGAGGGTATGTATGGCTGAGGAGTAGGATCAGTCGTGAGCGCACCCCCAGCTTGGGGACTGGTGGACCCCCTAGTTGGGAGACAAATGCACACTTACCCAGGGACAGGGGGCTCTCCCTGGGCGGACCTCTTATTTCCCCCATACTCGTGGGACTTCAATGGAGATGCCTATAAAGAAAAATAATAAAAAACCACCTAACGGTGAGGAGAACGCAAGCGAGGTCAGCTCGCTTGCAAATATGAACGAGGTGCTAGATGCATCATGTGCACGTGCCTCAAGCAGGAAGGAGTCGGACTCTGAGTCCGACTCAACATCGCAGTCTGGCACAAGCATAGCGCTGCGCCAGAAAAAGGCCCGAGGGACATTCAAACGCCCCAGGCTGGAGGACGGGCGAGGGCCCTCCTCCAATGAACAGGAGGCTCCGGCCCCCAAAATCCCCACGGCGGCGCGGGGTAGGGGCAAGGGGAAGGGCTCCACGAGGGCGGCTGGGAGCCGCTCTGAGCCGGCAGAGCGGCTGGCAGCGGAGGGGAGCGCCCTGGGAAAGGCTGCCCCCTCGGACTCCTCGGAGATGGAGGTGTCCGGAGGTGAGGATTCTGTAGGCGGCGCTGAGAGCCTCCGCCTCCAGGTTAAGGAAGCACTCCGCATGCTGGCTGGGCAAAAAACCCAGGCTGGCAGAAACGGAGTGCTTAAGCACGCGGAGGCCGCAATAATGTCGGCGGTATCCCAAAAGGGCTCAGCAGAGCGGCAGATGACCGCTCTGCAAAAAGAGATGGCCGGAATGAGGCGCGAGCTGGCCCGATTAGCGGCTGCGAACTCTGCCCTGGAGGCGGAACTTCGTGCAGCAAAGGCGGAACTCGCCGCTGCTCGCGCGGGTCGTCCCCAACCCTCGCAGCCAGTGGAGGCCGACCTTCTTGGCCTCATGCGGCAGGAGATGGCCGCCTTCCAGCAGCGTTTCGACGCTCTGGAGGGTAGGCTCCTCCGACCCCCACTCGCAACTGGCACTTATGCAGCCGCGGCAGCGAAGACGAAGCAGCCACCTAGCCGCGGCGCCAGAGCAGACGCCCCGGTGGAGAAAAGGGCGAAAGTGCCCCCTGCGGCGAAAGCACCGAGAGCCCCGCCGCTGACGAGGACGCCTATAGCTCAACCGGCACCGGCTCCTGCTGTGCCTCTGGCACCAAATAGCCGCAAGCGAAGAGGCGCAGCAGCTGAAATTCCAGCCGTTGCAGCCCCAACCCCGCTATCAGAGCTGTGCACCGATGGCGACGGGTGGCAGGTGGCCGGGCAGGCGAGAAGGAGCGCCAAAGAGGCGAGAAAGCGCCGCAAGAAGGAGCAGCGGCAGCGGCGACAGCAGCGACGCAGGGAGAAGCGCGCTGCGGCAATGCTCCTCACCCCTAAATCTTCGGCTGTAGTTATCACGCTACAGCCGGACGCGGCTAAGAAGGGGGTGACATACGGCGACGTCCTCGCCAAATTGAAGGGGACGGTTACTCCCGCGGAGTTCGGGGCCCCTAACGGGTTCGCGGTAAGGGTCACCGCGACTGGAGCCCGTCTTTTGGAGGTCCCCGGCGCGGCCAGCGGCCCATCCGCTGACGCCCTTGCCGAGAGGCTCAGGACGTGCCTTGCGGCGGATGAGGCTCGCGTGTCCAGGCCCACCAAATGCTTGGAGCTACGCATCATGGGCCTGGATGACTCCGTGACGGAGAACGAGGTGGCGGCCGCTGTCGCCAGGACGGGGGGGTGCCCTGCCGATCAGGTGAAGGCAGGCACCATCCGCCCGGACAATACGGGGCTGCGGACTGTGGTAGTCAGCTGCCCCGTCACAGCGGCCAAAAAACTGTCGGAGGGCAAAAGGCTCCTGGTGGGCTGGGTGTCAGCGCAAGTAAAGCTGCTGGAACCCAGGCCTCTGAGGTGCTACCGATGCCTTGTGGGTCACCATGTGGGTGCCAAATGCTCCTCAGAGGTGGACCGCAGCGACCGCTGCTTCCGCTGCGGTCAGCCCGGTCACAGGGCCGGCGCTTGTACCGCCCCGCCGCACTGCGTAGTATGTGCGGCGGCTGGCAAACCGGCCGATCACCGGGTTGGGGGCAAAACCTGCTCCCCCCCCACCAAACCCAGGAGCAAAGGTAGGCCCGTAGCCACCTCCACCGCTCCCACCGTCGCTCCCGCTGCCGCCGCAGTCGCCAACACCCCTGCGACTGCTGCTGTCGCCGCTGCCGTCAGAGAGGAGGTCGTGATGGATACCCAATAATGGCTCCATTACGCCTCCTCCAGGCGAACATCAACCACTGCGTCGCTGCTCAGGATCTCCTGCTCCAGAGCATGGCGCAGTGGTCGATCAATGTTGCTGTGGTCTCCGAGCCGTACTTCGTTCCAGCCAGGGAACACTGGGTGTCAGACCTGGACGGCTCGGTGACCATCATCTCGTCGGCCGCCGCCGGTACCCCAACCCCCGAAGGGCCTCAGCGAGGCAGGGGTTGCGTCGCGGCTCGGTTCGGAGAGATCGCCGTGGTGGGCGTGTACTTCTCTCCGAACCGAACTCTCGTCGAGTTCCACAACTCCCTCAGGGAGTTAGTCACCGTCGTCGTCGGGTTCCGTCCGCTCCCCGTGTTGGTCCTCGGGGACTTCAATGCCAAGAATTTGGCTTGGGGTTCCCGGCTCACTGATGTCCGGGGAAGGATGGTCGAAGACTGGGCTCTGGAGACAGGCCTAGTCGTGCTGAACCGGGGTTCTGTCCCCACGTGCGTACGGATGCGGGGTGAGTCAGTGGTGGACATTTCGTTTGCTAGCCCCGCTCTGTCATCGCGCGTTGTTGACTGGCGCGTCATGGAGGAGGTGGAGACGTTTTCGGACCACCGGTATATACGGTTCGACGTTTCCGCCGAGTCCGCAGACCCGCCAGTCAGACAGGCCCCGTGTGGCCCGCGTTGGGCGCTTAGGCAACTGGACCGGGAGCTTTTCCTGGAAGCCGCAGTCGTGCAGGCCTGGGTGATACCACCGGTCAGGCCAGCCGACATTAACGAGGAGGCGAGATGGCTCCAGGACGCCATGTCAAGGATGTGCGACGTGGCGATGCCCCGGATCCGACCGTGCCAACGCAAGCGCCAGGTGTATTGGTGGTCGCAGGAATTGGCAGACCTGCGCGGTGAGTGCACCGCAGCGCGACGCCGATACACCAGGCACCGCAGGCTCCGTCTCCGCCCTCTGGACGCTGAAACCAGAGAGGCGGAGCTATACGAGGAGTACAGGGCGGCGAAGGCCACCCTCAGGGTGGAGATCCGGCGGGCCAAAGATCGGGCCCGCGAGGAGATGTTGGAGACTCTGAACAGAGACCCATGGGGACGCCCCTACCGGATGGTGCGTGATAAGCTCCGCACCTGGGCGCCCCCACTGACTCAGAGTCTCCGGCCGGAGGTCGTGGACGAAGTGGTTGGGGCGCTATTCCCCCGACCACAGATGGGTTACACGCCTCCGGCTATGCCCCCGCCCCCTGCGGTGCCCAATGCGGGCTACATCGACGACGACGACGAATCCGCTCCGGAAGTGACCGAGGTAGATTTGAGAGTGGCGGTGCGCCGGCTGAGCGGCAAGAATACCGCCCCAGGACCTGACGGGCTGCATGCCAAGGTCTGGGTCCTGGCCTCGGAGGCTCTCAGGCCTCGACTACTTGGTCTGTTCAGCGCATGTTTGGAGAGAGGCCAGTTTCCGCTGTCGTGGAAGACGGGTAAACTGGTCCTCGTGAAGAAGCCGGGGCGTCCTGCGGACTCCCCGTCCGCGTACCGGCCCATTGTGCTGCTCGACGAGGTGGGAAAGCTGTTCGAGAGGATAATCTCAGACCGCCTCGTCGGGCACCTGTCTGGAAGGGGGCCGGATTTAGCGGACGGCCAGTTCGGCTTCCGCAGAGGGCGCTCCACGGTGGACGCCATCATGCGCGTGAGGGACCTCACGACGGGGACAGCGTTGGCCGGGAGGCGAGTCGTCGTGGCGGTGTCTCTGGACATCGCCAACGCCTTTAACTCGCTGCCCTGGAGCTGCATTTTGGAGGCACTCCGGTATCACCGGGTGCCTGCCTATCTCCGTCGTGTAGTCGAGGCTTACTTGACGGACAGATGCGTCATCTACCCCGGTCACCGGGGCGTGTGGAATCGGCGAGAGGTGTCGCGCGGTGTCCCACAGGGATCGGTCCTGGGACCTCTCCTGTGGAACATCGGGTACGATTGGGTGCTACGCACCGACCTCCCGAGCGGCGTCAGCATTGTCTGTTATGCTGACGACACGCTGGTGCTGGCGAACGGGAGGTCGCATCAGGCGGCGGCCGACCTGATGTCACAAGCGGTTGCGACAGTCGTTGCAAGGATCCGGCAGTTGGGACTCGAGGTGGCGCTCCACAAGTCCGAGGCCATGTGCTTCTATGGCCGTCGGAGCGCGCCACCTCCAGGTGGGTCCCAAGTAACGGCGGGAGGAGTTACCATCGGCGTCGAGTCGGCGATGAAGTACCTGGGTCTCGTCCTCGACAGCCGATGGAACTTCACGGAGCATTTTCGTCGTTTGGCCCCTAAGTTGGAACGGTCTGGGGCCGCGCTCAAGCGGCTCCTTCCCAACCTCGGGGGGCCAAACGCCTCCTGCCGGAGGTTGTATATGGGGATTGTGCGATCCATGGCCCTCTACGGTGCCCCTGTGTGGGCGCCGGACTTGAAGCGGCGGCCGGCTCGTACGCTGGTCGCGTCACAGAGGGTCATGGCTATACGAGTAATCCGCGGGTATCGCACGATCTCCGGGGAGGCGGCGAACCTCCTTGCCGGATCACCGCCGTGGGATCTAGAAGCGAAGGCGCTCGCGCGCGTCTACAGATTGCGCGCAGACGCGCGTCGCCGGGGCGAAGATCCTCTGCCGCGCCAAATTAGTGCGTGGCGGAATGAGCTCCGGCGAGATCTCATGGCAGAGTGGAGACAACGACTGTCGCAACCGAGGGCCGGGCACGCTACCATAGCAGCGGTAAGACCCCTCTTTGAGGAGTGGCTTGAGAGACGCCACGGCGTCCTCACCTTCCGTCTGACGCAGGTGCTTACCGGGCACGGCAGCTTCGGTAGGTTCCTGTTTCGGATTCAGCGGGAGGAAACGCCCGAGTGTCGTCATTGTGAGGACCACCTAGAGGATACGGTGGAGCATACGGTAGCGGTATGCCCTGCCTGGGCTGAGCACCGCCGTATCCTCAGGGAAGTGATCGGCGGCGGCGACCTCTCGCGCCCGGCCTTAGTCGAGGCCATGGTGCGGAGTGAGAGGAACTGGGACGCCGTCTCCTCCTTTTGTGAAGCAGTCATGCTCGCAAAGAGAGAGGCGGCCCGCGTGAGGGAGCAATCCTCCTCCTCACGCCCCAGCAGCCGCAACTGGCGACACTACGGGCGTCGGGGATCGAGGGACGATCTCCGGCCACCGTAAGTACGGGCCTGCGGTCGGCGAGTAAGGGCAGCTCGCCGCCCGACCAGAACCAGGCCCGAGCGTACGGCGCGTAGCGTTCCGCGCGCGCCTCAAAGAGCCAATAGACCACCACAGACGGGGCCCTAAAGGGCTGATGTTCAGCCGGGGTTGCGGGGTAAGCGCAATGAGGTACCGCGACCTCGGCACAGA